TAAGGCGTTTTCATCGTGTCTTCTGACCGCTAGTTGGTGTTCATGGATGTGCTTTGCTAGTCTTCTGCCCGTCTGTCCTACATAGTGGCTGTTACAGTCCTTACACTGAATGTTGCAGACGATGTCTGTTTTCTCCTTCTTGGGCTACTGGATCTTTTGGTTTACTTAAGATGTTTTGGAGGGCTTTAGTTGGTTTGTGTGCTACAGAGATGCCATGTGTCTTTCCTGCATTGTGGCCAAGGAAAGTGAGGAATGTTCCAGGAATCTTTCCTTTGCCAAGTTCCTCTCAAGATTTCACCAGAGGTACAGAAAAGTATCCAGCAGGCCCTCCTGGGAGATTCAGGCAACAGAAAACAAAAGGAGTGGTGGAGATGAAGGCCCCTTAGGCCAGAAGATGAGAGCAATCCTGAATTGCTATCTTGTAAAGGGGAGGCTGTGGGTCAAAGCTGCAATATATAAATAATCCCAAACAACAAATTCTCACAGCTTTAACATAAGGCAACAGAGGGAGCGGAAAGGTGGTTTGTGGCAAATAAATAATTGCCCCTCCTTCCACCAGCAGTTTCTACCAGTCTTCTCTCAAACTGCACATTTTCAAAAGGAAGTGCTTGAATTGCTGTTACATGTTTTCAGTTCCCCCATGGCCATAGTATACACTGTAGTGCATTTTCAATGCATGAGCCTTCACACCTTGGTTACATTCCACATCTAGAAGCTTACCTGACGCAACCTTGAAGTTACTACAATATCCAACAAAAAGTCTTTGTGCCTCCAAACACAAAAGCTTTAATTTGGATAGTGGAGTTGCTAATATGCAATAACACACGCTTAGGTAAATGTCTATGTATGTTGAATTGGATGAAAATGGCTTAAAAGCAGCGGGTTCTTCCTTGAAGGAGTAGTGTAACTGCTGTGTTTTCCTGTGGTCAGGCTCTTAAATACAAAAGATCTGTATCCAGGGGAGTACACAGGGTATTTATTTATCAAATTTATATGGCTGCCCATCTCATAAGAAGTGACTTTGGGCAGCATACAACAAAAAACAAACTAAAAACACTGTCAAATTAATTAAAAAAAAAAAAGCATCACACACACAAGAGATTAGATCAGCATGGGAGCCACTTGGTATAGTCAAAATACCCTGATGGCTGCCACCTTGATTTTTTTTACCATACTTTGTAGACACCACTGAATACAAATATTCCAGACACTTTTGCTCCAATATAGTTCATCAGAACCATGATCTGCATTCTACAACAAGCCACTGGTGATTACTTGATGTAGAAAAACAGGGAGGTCTGTGAACAATATCTAGCAGGCTAAAGAGAAAGGGGAGCTAATGATGTTCTAAAGATGGCAGAGCTGTTCGCTTTCCTTTCCGTATTGGTTGTATTGGCACAACAGGCTAACAGCTGGTTAAATGAAACATGGTTAAAAAATAAAGCCAGTTGCCTGGCTTTACATAACACACTGAACTGCAAACCAGCTAACTACAGGTAGTCCTTGCTTAGTGACCACAATTGGGACCACCAACTTGGTTGCTAAGTGATGCAATCGCTAAGTGGAAAATCACGTGGATGCAACTTACAATTTTACTTCTGCCTTTGTATTAACTCTGTTTGTTGCAAGTGAAAATGCATGCAAGCATGCAAATGGTTATCAGATGGCCAAGGATGCTGTGACAGTCATAAATATAAGAATTGGTCACAACATTTTAAGGGGTTTACAAACTGTTTTAATTCTTGGTTTTATTGTACACTGCCCAGAGTCACTTTGGGTGGGATGGGAGGCCAAATAAATTTGATAAATAAATAAACGTATGCTTTTAGCACTGTCATAATTTTGAATGGTTGCTGTACGAGGCAGTCAGTAAGTAAGGACCACCTGTACACGTTAGGCTAGTTTCTTCTGCAAACCCAACTTGTGTTGACATTGTTGAGTGGGCCTCCAAAATGTCAACCCCTCTCCCCTGTGGTCATGAAATTAAGAGAAGACATACTGTCCCCATCTATAGTCTGCTGTCACAAATCAGTTCAACTGTGGAGCTTTATTTACATATTTGTCAAATTTATATGGCCATCCATCTCACACGAAGTAACTCTGGGTGGTGTACAATAAAATCAAGAATTAAAACATTCTATAAGTTAAAAACAAGCATTCTCATCTTTATTAGTTTTCTCATCTGTATCTGCTGCTATCAAGTGGACTTTTGGCAAGTCACAACAAATGTATACTGTAAAAATACAGTAAAAATAATCATAAAATAAAAAGCCAATTTAAAAAAAAAACAATCACATCAGCATAATCTCCAACGGTTCAGTTTTTAACAGCTTTCGGAAGACAAATACATTTGGAGCCACGTGGGGGTTTGCTGAGAGGCTGTTCCATGGAGAGTTGCAGCTGTGAGAAGTGGCTCCTGCAGATTGTAGCTTTCCTCACTTCACAATAGTGGGGAACGACAAGCAGCTTCTCCTGAGATGCCTGGCTCAATCTTGGCTGGAGAGGGCAGCCCCATACCTTACAGCCTAGCCATACAGGGCTGCATAGGCTAAGACACAGCTGAACTGCAACTGTAAGCCAATGGGAAGTTAGTGCAAGGCCTCAAGCACTGGTGCAACGTGCTTGCAGTGATCAACAACTGGGCTACTGCCTTCCTAGATTAGCTGAAGCTTCCTAATGGTTTTCAAGGAAAACCCCCATAAACTTCACTGCAGTAGCCCAACTACATAGTGGTGAGGGCATGAATCACTATTGTAAGGTCCTCCTGCTCTGGGTAGAGCTACAACTGGTACATCAGCCAAAGCTGGGCAAAGGTACTCTTGGCCATAGCCATTCAGCCGCAGAACAGTAGCCATGAGTCCAGCAGACCCCTAATTGTGCATAGCTCCCAAAACTGGGTCAAGACATTGACACATCTCTGCAGCCAGAGTAGCAATCCATAACCAGGTTTCAGCATACTAATGTCACGATATGTCAAATTGATGGATATTCTCTGACTGAAGGGGGCAGGGGGGAGAGAGAGCTGCATCCTGCAGCTCCTCACAAAAAAAAAAAGCATCAGGCCCTTCTCTCTCTCTTCCTTAATGGATCTGCCCACTAAGGAAGGAGCAGACAGACTATAAAACAGTATCTCCAGTCCCTAGTCTCACAGACAATCCAGACCAATATCATGGTCAATGGTATCAAGGGGCTCTAACAGGACCAGATGGTGCAGTACCTCCATCTAGGTCCCAGCAAAGATTATTGTCAAGAGTAATCAATGCCTTCTCTCCCAGGTCTGAACCCTGATTGAAAAGGATATGGAAGATAATCCACTTCCTGTAGGATGCTCTGTAGTTGCCAAGAGGCTGTATCTAAACACTCTCCTCTAAAAAGGGGAGATTAGACATTGGATGACAGTTGTCCAAAGGGGCTGGATCTGGGGGGGGGCACTCTTAAGGAGGGGCACATCACCTCTTTCAAGGCTGCAGACACAGCTCCCTTCTGCAGCACGGCACTGATCCTTTTCCAGATTCAGATCATCACACCTTTCTCTGCCCCATGCAGGAGCCAAGAAACATGGAGCCAACACAAAAGTGACTGAGGACATACCACTGACCATTTTATCCATTTCCTCAGATTTCAGTCAAAGCAGTTCTCAGATAACATGGCAAGATGCAGCCCTAGTTGCTCTTCAGAGCTTAAGAATCAGAGCAATGTTATTGCCAAAATGCTGCACAAACCAATCACAATGACCAGGTGGGTTTCTTGTCCTTTTCCTAATGGAAAGTTGGCCATTGTAAAAAGGCCATTGGCCAATAGCTCACTGACATATGAGGAGACAATTAATGCTTTGCCTGCTTTGCAGGCTCAAACTTAAATGTGTACCTATGCTCCATGAGGACTGTTTCTTGTCTTTCTCCACTGGCACTCCAGGCCTTGCCTCTGCCACTTTGTTTTCTGGGGCTCCTCAATAAGCCAGGGAGGATCACCCAACAGAAACAGGCTGTCAGGGAGCAATCCTGCCTTGCTTCTTGTGATTGGGCAGCCAGGCACTCCACAGAACTGCCCTGGTGTCTGCCTGAATCCAATAAGGTGCCTAGGATGACCAACCTCAATTGACCTGTTCAACCCATAGAAGTCCCAGTGGCACCAATCTCATCTGGAGCAAAAAGGGATCCAAGAAATACCCTCCTTATCCAGATCCCTCAGCAACTGTTCGGAGGCAATGATGAGATCAAGCACATGGCTGCCTCTGTGTGTCAGCCTGAGATTGCCTGCGTAAAGACCAGGGTCACCTTGAGCTCTAAACATTTCCCAACTGAGCTCCCAAGCCACGAAGACTGACCTTTCCTAACCCCAAA